ATACACTTGCTTAACTGGGCTGAAAAAGAACACCCATATTTCCATATATATACAAGAATGCTCTTTTAGATAGGGTAAAATTTTCACTATATTCTGCAAAGTACCTTTTTTTTTTTTTATTTTTATTTATTTGAATAACTCTTTCCACCCTGTGGACACTAAGAGGGCCTCTTTTTAGCATCCCCATTATGGGTTCAGCCAGGCTCACAATGGGGTGGCTGGGTGGTGAGGAATAGGGCCCAACATGTTTGAATGGACTACTGGATCCATCCAGATTCGAACCTGGGTCCCCCAGAGCAATAGGCTACCACCTTGACTTCTCAGCCATCTGGCTATTCTGCAAAGTACCTAAAAGCAATCACCATAAATTATATGACTTTTGAAACTTAAAGTGACAACTAAATAGATCACACTAATCTTTTGATTTCAACAAACAAATTTGAGAAACATTAACATTTTCAACTTTTTTGAGGCTATCTTCAGGCAACATTCCAAATAAGATGCATAAATTATTATGATTTTTGAGCATCTATTTTCCCATAGAATAAAAACTATTTCCAAAATTAAAGATGTTCAAAACAAGAAAGCAAGAAACTGTCACAGAGTTCGAATTTTCAAATTTTAAAGATAATGCATCCTGTTATTATTAGAATACTTACATGCTGTGGCGTTACAGGAGTGAAGTTCCGGATACAGAAATTTATCCGACTTTTGTAGAAACACCATTCTTGTAATGCCACTGCATGTAAGTGTTCTAATAATAGTATATGTTGGCGTGAAGTGCAAACTTATTATATAATGCATCCTGCCTTTCCTATGGGAAAAATAAATTTTCTAGCTGCTCTAAAGGCTTTTAAAAGCCACTGTCTAGTGGGACATTATAGATGCTTCATTCCACAGTACTTCCAATCTTGGGTATATAGCATAAGTAGACATGCAACTACTATGCTAGAGCAGTACTGAGCTTATTGCTACTAGTATAATATTTGTGCTCTGCTATCCTTTATGTCAACGATCAATTTGTTTAGTTTGTTTGTAAGTCTTCTATCAAGCTTGCAGTATGCAAGAAAATCAGGTATAATAACAAAATGGGATGAAACCAAAATCATAAAACACAAATACAATAACTGCAAATTTAGGACTGGAGGCATTGGACATATTTGCCGAAACCCTTGAGAATTGCATTGACAGCAAAGACACCAACTCCATATTGATAGCATGGCAGTTGCTACTGGATAAGCCTTAAAACAATGAGGGTTATCTGTTCATTTCTGTTTACCTTTATTTTTTGGACACCATTATTAAATTCAGTAGTACCTCAGGATACGAAATTAATCCATTCCGAAACTGAGATCGTATCATGAAAATGTCGTAAGGTGAATCATTTTTCCCCATACGATTACATGTAAAACCAAATAATTCGTTCCAACACGAAAAACACACTCAAATTAAAACTAAATAGTACATTTAAAAAAAAAATTATAGTAAGGGAAACACTGAAAAATGCATTTTGTAGTTGTAAATGTATAAATAACCATAATAGAATAATATTTGATTTTAAAAAAATGTAGTTTTATTTGCACTTTACCTTTGAGGATAGATGACGGTGGAGGTGTAAACTGGTGGCGGAAGAGAGGGAGAAGAGAAATGATACTAAAACTTAACTTACATAACATAATGTAACAATAACTTAAAAATAACTTAACACTAATTTTTTTATCTTTTCTGTTTTATATAATTTTTTTTAATTTTTTATTCACTGCTTTTTGCTTTCTTTCCTTCACTTCCACCAGCACTTTCACTGGATAGAGGTCGCTTGGTAAAATATCTATCCAAAGAGGTTTGGCTTTGCCTACTTTTTAAAATGTTTCTAAAATTACTTAGGCAAATGTCATTACTCCGAGCAGCAATACGGTCAGTGTGAACCTTTTCGGGATGTTTCTTTTCAATAAAACCAGTCACTTTCTGTAATACCTCAAGATTTCCTTTATCGAGCGAGATCCTTCCACAACGAAGCAAACACGCGGACTGAGACTAATGAACAGAAGTGAATAAAAAATGGTGCTGCGAACTAATGTAATGTCGTATGGTGAGTTTTTGTTTGTATCATGGAGCAAAAATATGTTCGAATTTCATGTCGTATCCTGAAAATTTCGTATGCTGGGGCGTTCGTATCCTGAGGTACCACTATATATACTTTTGGTTAAGCACATACATACAGTGTTGTTATATACTTGATTTGTAATTTTATTCTATTTATTTGTTTATTTTAACCATTAATACAAAACTTTTTATTCAATTGCAATGTTAAATTCTGTACACCAGTTAACATATATAATAAATATACAGTAAAACCTTGTTATTTTGAAACCCAAGGGATTAAAAAATACAGACTGAGTTATCTGAACTTTTTTTCAAATCAAAGCTTTTTGTAATTCTTAAACAAGATTATGACTTTATATTATATAATTTTGCTTGTTTGTTTACAAATGCATTGATATTATGAGTTATTACTTAGTAATTTAAGCTATTTAAAAAACTGTCAATTGGCATGTACTTAATGAAAACAATGAAAACGTAACCAAATTACATTCAAAGCAAGTCCTGAAAATAACACATGAAAGAAGCTTAAGTGCTTCAAAAAAAAATTACCACAAATTTCATCTAGAGCAGGGGTGGCCAACCTTTTTAGCAGGCGGGCCAAATTTCAAAAATAATATTTCCTGCCGGGCCACGCACCTAATTTTTTTTAATTAAAGTAAACAAGCAAGTGTGCTACACCTTCAACCGCATCATTGCTTTCCAGTAGGTGAGATCGTGGTCAAACACTTGCCTGATTTAATGTAAAAAAACACAAAAAATAGGTATATTTATTTTTTTGAAGAAAATAAAACATAACCGAGAATCATTTATTTAATAACCGAGAAACATATTTATTAGACAATTTAAAAATTTGACTTTGTTTTACAGAACTAACAAGTAAGTGCATCAAAATTGATCTGGACTGATGTTGTCGCTACACGCAAACAGTTTTCCAAATGAACATCAGTAATTCGTGTTCTCACTTGTGATTTGATATACTTCATGCGACTAAAAAGTTGTTCACACGCATACGTGTTTCCAAATAGCGAAACCATTGACAGAGCATGTTTGTAAAACGCAAGATATCTATCCTTGTCCAAATACGTCTCATAGAACTCTTCCAAACCTTCTTAACTCTTCTAATGTTCATTTGGTGATATTACAATAAAGTTAACATTTATGTTCATTTGACCTAGCTTCGCGGGCCGCAACACGACTCCCGGCGGGCCGCATGCTGGCCACCCCTGATCTAGAGCAATGGTTCCCGATTAGTAGTATGTGTACCTCTGGGGTATGCGAAATTGCATGAAGGGGTACGCACAGCAATCTAAAATCGGTCAATTTAAAATTTAAATGCATGAGATGAAGCAATCAAAAAATAATGGGTGGACCATCAAAAATGCGACAATTTACAACATGATGTGGAATGCACAAATTTGTTTATTTATAACTAAAAATATTCTCGAAATTTCATCAAAAAAATGCATTTGTGACAATACCTAAATGAAATTCTTATGCAAGAAACAAAAATTGTATAATTATCATTATCATCATGTCTGCGAAGCGGCAATAAAATATTTACTACCATTTTGCACAACATACCTCTGCAAGAGTGGATTTTCAGCCATGACAAACATGAAAACTAAACATCGTCACCGACTTCAACTCAAATATGACTCAAGACTGAAGCTGACAAAAAAGCAGCCAGATTTTACAAAGTTGTGCAAAGAAAATCATGCACATTTGTCACATTAAAATTAAATAACCTTATGTTATTTTCATTATTATTAGAATTGTATTTTAAAGATAATAAATGTAACTTATTCTATTTATCACTTGCTGTCTACCCACAGCTTCGCCCACATTATATCGAATTTTCTCGTGGGAGTAAGATATTTTCTCGCAGTAAAATGTAACCTATGTCCATCTCCAACATGTAAGCTATCTCTGTGCCAAATTTTATTAAAACCTGTTCAGCAGTTTAGACGTGAAAAGGTAACAGACAGACAGAAATACCTTCGAATTTATAATATTAGTATGGATTAATATGAATTTCTGCTATAAGGGATACGCGAGTTTGAGCTCTTTCTTGAAGTGGTACGCAGGAAAAACTAATCTAGGAACCACTGATCTAGAGGATCAATGACTAGTTCTATGACAAATTTGCTGTTTTGAGTTTGAGATTACAAAAATCATGTGATGTGATGAAAACAAGCTCTATTAATGGTTAAAGTAAGTACACATTCTATAGTGAATTCATATGTGTATTTAATGGACTGAAATTTTTGAAAAAATTGAATTTTTGCAAAAAATGTCCAAAATAATTAAATGCCAAACAGATTTCTTTCAAAAAAATAAAAAAAAAGTTTTGTCTTCATTGTCAATATGTACAATGTCCAAATGACCTTGAACAGATGTCCAATAAATCGATGTACAATTGGTGAAACTAAAACTACTACTTGAGTATGGAAACTTTCTTATAAACACGTAATATGATAGAAGATTTGAATTAAACTATATTTTTCGGGTCACCAGACTAAATAATGACTTCAAATTTCATTGTATGTGTATTTTGAATTATCTGAACTAAAATATATGTAAAATCCTATTCTCTTAGCCAGGGACTAGATTTGACTTTGAATTATCTGATATTGAAATAACAAGGTTTTACAGCACTTTGAAAATAGTGATGTTGAAAGAATAGCTATATATTGTAAATATGTAATAGTTTGGTATTTATAAGAGGATGGAGGTTAAATTAAGAAATAATCTTTCAGTAGTAAATTTAACTTTATTTATTTCATTACACTTCTCTTTTCTAACATTCTCTCTGTGTTTTCATTTTGATGTAAAATTTATCAGTAAGAATTTAATTCCTATTTTTATTATTTTTAATAAATGTGTTAAAAATTTTACAGGAAACTTTGAGTCAAAATTTAAGGATAAATTTCATGCCTTTCAAGAATTAACACCACCTGATATCTTCACTAGTCGACCCAAATTATATCCTAGTAAAGGTAAGATTAATTTATCTAAAATGTTAATCTTATAAATGACAAAAATTCTGTGTGAGATATCTGCTTATAAACATTAAAATTATAATTCTGATAATTATAAGCAGATGTTCAACATGGAACTACATTTGTATTTTATATTATCTAAGTCAAATTTTTCATGTGTAAAAATCTAATTTTGTTAGGATAATTTTTATTACAGAGGATTTTAAACAGTTTTGTACATATTTTGGCTATTGTTTCAGATATTCAGACTGAATTTCATTTTAAATAAATTAGTTTATCTTTGATACTAGTTTTGTGTGTTATAATTGGGGAAAGGGGGAAAAATCAAAACTGACTAGAATTTTAAAATAATTTTTTTCCTAATTTATAGAAGCACTACTGTAATTGATAAAATTTCAACATTTTAAATGTTTTTTTAATTTATATATGATTTAAATTCAGTATTTTAAAGAAACAAATTATATAGTTAAATATAAATTTAAAATAAATGCTAATTTTAATTGTCTTTATATAATTGAATTTAACTCATTTTATCATTTTTAATTTAGCTTTATTATTGTGTACTAGAAAAAAATCCAGTTTTTAAATTTTTAGGTTAAAAAAAGGATAAATAAATATGCTTTGGAGGAAAGTGTTTTGTATTAAAGAATAATATTTTAATGCATTTATGAATACAAATATGAAGCATATTTATAAGTTACATAGAAATATAGAAGAAAAATATTATAATGTGTTTCAAATAAGTTGTCATCTAATGTAAACAAACTGTTGATTGAGTCACACTGTCAAAGCAGTCTGACCGGTTCTCTTTAATCTGCATTCATTATGTTAAACAAAACTATGTTTTTAAGTTTAATTAGACATTAAAAATAATAATTTTATATTTTTAGACAATGTTAATTTATGAAATATTGAAGAGAGGCATCTCTAAATCTTGGAAAATAGTTCAAAATAGTTTTAAAATAAATTTTGAGAAATGCTAAAAATTTTCATCACAGATGATTATTGGCTGCATGGTTAAAGACATTGTTAAAAAAATTATAAAATTACAAATAATAACTTTTGCTGGTGTTTAGCCATTAATTAACAACAGATAAAAAATTCGAGAAACAAAGCTATAAAAAGTGTTATCCATTTTTTATACAATAGTATAACAATCTTTGATGCTTTCTATACCTTTTTTCATTTAATCGCAAAATTTTTCTTTTATGACCATCTTTAACCACCATTTGATATGTTGCTGCTTTTTTAACAAAATAAATGTGTTATTTCAATGATAACTACATTTTATTGTTTACTTGAAATTAGTGACTTTTATTTATAAAAAATATCCTGGATGAAAAAACATGTTTTTTTTTATAGTTGATAAAAAAAATAGTTAAATTTGTCAGGTTTCATACTGAAAATTCTAAAGAAAATTTATGACTTTTTAGGCAAATAAAATTTATTTATTCAGCAAATATTCCTTTATCCTGTATTTTAGAACAGAATTATTTGGAATTGTGTTTTGCAGAGAATTGCACTTTAGCTGACATTTAAATTAGACAATCAAAAAGCAAAGTGACAAGTGCTTTTGTTTACATTAGGTGCCAAATTTATTTGAAACAAATTATATGTACTTTCTGCATTGACTATTACATAATTTAAAATATTATCTATATGGCAATCTATCAGAACATATTGAATTTAATTGTAGAATATTAACTATTTTTCCATCTAATAAAAGTCTAAAACAGGGAAAAAAATTCAACTTTCAGAGAGACATATGTTTAGATTCTTCTAAAAATTATAATTGTTGTTGTCTTATGTACAGAGTGATTATAATTGAAGAGTAGATATTCAGAGCTCTATGTAGAAATAACTGTTGGAGAAGTCTTAACCAAATTTGATGTATATATTATCTTACATAGGTAGTTTTGAATTTCATAAAAAAATTTATTTCAAAATTTAGCCACTAGGGCAAAATTTGGAACTGATGTGTAATGGAAATACAGTAGAACCTCGATTATCCGGACTAATTGGGGATGAAGGTAGTCTGGATAAGGAAAAATTCAGATAATCGAAACAAATACTTTAATTAACCCCTTAACGCCCGCCTGTTTTTAATTATGATGTAATTAAGCATAAAAAATACTTAAAACTTAAAAAAAAATGAAAGAAATGCGTTAATTTTGAAGAAAAAGCTTCAAATTTTATTTTCCTTTGTTTTGCCTTTCTGTGAAATTTAACACCGATGAGTCATTGTTTACACAGCTGGATGACTTTGAACACAACTGGAGTCAGATTTCCTGGGGCATTCTCATATACATCTCGGGAGGACAAGGGTTTAAAGTAGGGTGAATATGAGCGACACGTATATTTTTAAAAAATTAAGATTTTAATTGCGATTTCCAACCCCCTAATTAATTAAATTTATATAAAAAAAAATTGATTGATTAAAAAATTTAAAAACTATCGGAGGTCGTTTGTGACATCAGAAAGCAGCTTTAAATAACTTTACCAAAGGAAAATCCATGCGCTACAACTTAGGAACCATGAAATAAAAAACTCCCATTAAAAAACAATTAAGCCTTAATCGAGCCTTATCAAAGGCTCATTAAAATCGCAATAAAATTTTTTCACGCAGACAAAAAATTTTGAAAAAATTTGGGGACCTAAAAACATTCCAAAAATTGAAAAAAAAAAAAAATTTTGTCAAAAGTGACCTTAACTACCGAATTTTACATAACACTATGTAACCTTGACGAGTTATCTCGTCATTGGGCGTTAAACTATATGTTTATCCGTTAAAACCTGCCTATTACTCAGAAACTGGACACCTACTGACTTACCCACTTCTCTCTCCACTCGATTGTTTAATGAGCCCTCCAAATCTTAATTAGTGTTGCAAATTGTGCATTAGGAAGTATATAATTATCCTAACTGGTGTCAGTTTTTGACTGGAAGTCGCCATCATATGATTTACGTGTTTCCATTAACCTCCTAAGCCATCTGATGACCCCAAAATTGGGTTCAAACAACCGATGTTGAGTAAGTGGTCAGTAGGGATCGTCCCCTTGTCCCTTGGCTTATCTTACACATGTTTAAGCCAACATATGGGTTCATCATCTTGCATAAAAATTTCTCTGGTGCATTGCTGAATTGCTGAAGTTTGGAACATATCTCCATTATGTATCTAGCTGCATTAACAGAACATTTCATTAGCTCAAAAACAGAGTTTACTTTTAAAAAAAAAAAAAGGATCAGTGATGATTCTGTGAAATTTCATCACACTGTGGCACCTGTCGGCAACTTGCCGATTCGGACGATAGAGGGCGCAAGAAAAGAAAAAAGCGAACTTTGAACTGGTCACCCACTTTCCGACCAACATCTACTGGGAACAGACGTTAGGACAAGCGGTCAGTGCAAACAACTGTAACCTTCGATCGATGTCAAACTGTATATACATTGATTGTACATTACTGTATATATTTGCAAATAAAGAAAGAGATATTAAATTCCGACTAACATATTTTCAACAATATCGAGCGATTTGCATAGGGGATTGAACCCCAAAACTGGTGACCCAAACAAAGAAGACACGTGCCTCACAAGGATAATCCATCTCCATTGTACAACCACAAGATCAGAAAAACGAAACTCAACTATTTCCTGTAGTTTAAGAAGGTCAGTAACAATTTTATATCTTTATTTTCGAAAATTTTGTCAACTGATATAGGAGTCAGCTGGTGTTCCGCAAATCTCTCGAGTGGCAGTCAAGCCACCTCCATTTTGGAAGAACAATCCCACTCTCTGGTTTGCTCAACTCGAAGCCCAGTTCGCCATCGCTAACGTTTCCGCCGACATAACCAAATATTACTACGTTATTTCAACAATAGAATCGGACATCTTAGAATCGGTACACGACCTGGTAACCAAGCCACCTGAAAACAACAAGTATGACACTATAAAAAAAGGCTGATCAACATATACTCAGAAAGCCAAACGTCCAAATTGTGAACACTATTACAAGGACTTGAATTGGGTGACCAGCACCTGTCACACTTACTAACTAAGATGCGTTACCTCGCCAATGGTCATTTCAGTGAAGACTTATTAAAATCGCTGTGGCTTCGAACACTACCAGGAAATATCCAAGCTATTCTGGCAGCCTCGAATGAAACTCTGCCACAACTCGCCACAATGGCTGATAAAATACACGAACTTACCATCATAAACCACACGCCAATCAGCCAACAGGAACAATTCTCTATTAGCAGCCCAATTGAGAAACAAATACAGGAATTAAAATTGCAAGTGAATGAACTCGCTACCTTGGTACGAGCACCAAGATACCAACATCACCCAAGATACAACTTCCGAAATCGACAGGACTCGCATGGACGAAGTCCATCCCATGAGTGATGCCATTACAAAGAACCAGAAGGTGGCTTATGCTTTAACTACACTAACTTTGGTGCAAATGCCAAAAAATGCACTTAACCTTGTTCATTCCAAAAATTGGGAAACTAGACAGGTGGCTCCCTGTGGCCACAGAGAGCAAATGCCAAGTCAATAGAATCTTTATGTCCAACCCTTCATCCAAACTTCACTTTCTGGTCGACACAGGAGCAGACGTATCAGTCATACCCAAAAAATTCGTAGTTTAACCTGTCCATTCAGGAAAACTCACCCTTTATGCAGCAAACGGCACTCAAATTTCAACATACGGAACCAGACCACTCACGATAAATTTAAATTTTCGTTGAACCTTTAGCTGGCCCTTTATCATCGCTGATGTTGCTCAACCCATCCTGGGCATCAACTTTTTGAAACATTTCAACCTACTTGTCGACATAAAACATAATTGCTTGATTGATGCCACAACTAAGCTTACATCCAAAGGGATGACAACAAAGAAGCTATCAGCCTCCACCAGCATCACAGTCGTGTCTGGCGACTCACCATACCACAAATTTTTGGCCCAGTTCCCTAATATCACTAATCCATCACGATTGGACAAACCAAAATTAAAGGCTCAGGTTTACCATCACATAGAAACACAGGGCCCACCTGTGTTTAGCAAACCACATCGTCTACCTCCAGACACTCTTCTTGCTGTTCGCAAAGAGTTTGAGTTCATGATGGCACAGGGAATCATTCAGCCATCAAAGAGTGCATGGGCCAGTCCCTTACACATGGTAAGAAAACCAACTGGAGACTGGCGGCCATGCGGGGACTATCACTGCTTAAATGCAATTACCCATTCTGGTAGATACCCTGTGCCACACATACAAGACTGTATGCAATTATTACATGGGAAGACAATATTTTCCACCCTAGATTTAGCAAGAGCCTACCACCAAATACCAGTCAATCCAGCTGACGTACCTAAGACTGCCATAACTATGCCATTCGGATTATATGAGTATCTATTCATGCTGTTTGGACTGCGAAATGCTGGACAGACCTTTCAACAATTTATCCACCAAGTACTACACGGACTTAACTTACAATCGAACTCTTACATAATCCAAAGTATCAAAATTTTTCTAAGTTTAAGCGATGCATCACCATTTTGTGAAAGCGGGGTCCCGCTTTCACAAAATTTCATCCCATATTTTGATGATATCCCGGTTGCATCTGTAGACAAGGACGAACATCTACAGCACCTCCGTCAAGTTTTCACACGACTTCAAGAACACGGACTTACCCTGAACCCATCGAAATGCATCCTTGGTCAGACCTCAGTACCTTTCCTCAGATGCCTAATCACTCCTGCTGGCATACAACCTTCACCTGAGAAAGTTCAAACCATTAAAAATTTTCCACGGCCACGAATAATTGCCGAACTACAATGTTTCATAGCAATGTTAAATTTTTACCATTGCTTTCTCCCAAATGCTGCAGCTATTCAAGCACCTCTGTACAATATTTTGAAGGGTAGCAGAAAAAACGACAAATGCACTATCCGGTGGACCAAAGAGATGGCATTCAACAAGTGCAAATCCGACTTGGAAAAAGCGGCCACGCTTGCATTTCAACTGAGTAATAGCAAACTTTCCTTGATTGTCGACACATCGGACCTTGTTATTGGATCCGTTCTGCAATGCCATACCAACCAAGGTCCACGTCCGCTTGCCTTCTTCTCTCGCAAGCTGTCCAATGCAGAACGAAAATACAGCACTTATGACAGAGAGCTCCTCAGCATATATTCATCCATCAAACACTTTAGGCATCACCTCAAGGGAAGACATTTCACTATTCTAACTGACCATCGACCACTGACCTTTGCCCTCAATAAAAAATCTACATCCTGTTCTCCTCGACAACTCCGACAACTTGATTTCATCTCTCAATTCAGCACTGACATCAGACATATTCATGGAGCTGACAATACTGTAGCTGACACTCTCTCTCGAATCAACAACATCCAGCTACCTTCTTCCTTAGACTTCACTGCAATAGCACAGGAACAAAACAACGATGAAGAACTTAAAAAACTACAATCTACCCAACAATCTTCCTTACAGATACAACCTCTCACTCTCAATTCCAAACTACAAATCATGTGTGATACGTCAAATAACAGGATACGACCATATATTCCAATTAACTTTCGCTGTGAAGTCTTCAATTCCGTCCACAATCTTTCCCACCCAGGCACTCTTGCAACCAGAAAACTAATTCAGGAATGCTTTGTATGGCCAGCCATGCTCAAGGATACCAATCAGTGGTGCAGAACATGTATCACTTGTCAGCGGAATAAAAATCAACCACCACATTCAAAGCCCACTGCAACAGTTTGACCTACCCAAGCAACGATTTGACCACGTACACATGGACATCATGGGACCACTACCCCCATCAGAAGGATTTGTGTATCTCCTTACATGTGTCGACTGATTCACACACTGGCCGGAGGCCACACCAATCCCGGACATAACAGCAGAAACGGTAGTGAAAACATTCATATCAACATGGGTAGCTCGATTCGGAGTTCCTTCCATTATAACAACTGACCAAGGGCAACAGTTTCAGTCCCAACTCTTCATGTCACTCACTGCCCTCCTTGGAATCAAACGAATCCGCACAACCCCCTATCATCCATCATCAAATGGGCTGGTAGAGCGATTTCACTGCACACTCAAACAAGCCCTACGATGCAGTGACCACAACCATTGGACAGAAAGCATCTCTACAGTTCTGCTCGGGCTCCGCTCCACGTTTAAACCTGACGTCGGGGGCACTTGCTCAGAAATGGTATATGAAACCACTCTACGTTTACCTGCCGACTTCATACAACCGACAAATAATAACTCCCTTGAGCCACCCATCTTCCTTCAGTGCCTCCGCAATATCATGAACAATTTTTTGCCAGTCCAAACATCCACACATGACAAAATTATCACCTTTCTACATTCCTCAATAACGGAATGCTCCCACGTATTCATTAGAAATGATTCTGTGAAAAAACCCCTACAAGCTCCCTACAATGGCCCTTATCAAGTCCTTACATGATCCAATAAACATTTCACAGTACTAATAAAAGGCAGAGAAGCTGTCATCAGCATAGATCGGCTCAAACCAGCATTCATCGATACAACTGCAAACGATACATCCACTCCACCGGTCAACAACACAAGCAATCCTGTCACACCGGCACAAGCACCAACCACCATGACCCGGTCGGGACATCACGTCCGCTTCAACCCCCGGTACCTCTGATCCCTATATCGTCCCTATATCGTTGTCACTGGGGGGGCACTGTGGTGCCCGTCGGCAACATGCCGATTCGGACGATAGAGGGCACAAGAAAAGAAAAAGCAAACTTTGAACTGGTCACCCACTTTCCGACCAACAGCTACTGGGAACAGACATTAGGACAAGCGGTCAGTGCAAACAACTGTAACCTTTGATCAATGTCAAGCTGTATGTACATTGATTGTACATTACTGTATATATTCGCAAATAAAGAAAGAGGTATTAAATTCTGACTAACGTATTTTCAACAGTATCGAGTGATTCGCATAGGGGATCAAACCCCAAAACACTATTACCTTTGGTTAGTGCAATGAAATTTTTTGGTGAATGTGTGGATTTTTTATTAGACCAAATACAACAGTTGTATCTGTTCACATCACCATAAAAATGAAAATGAACCTCATCATTCCATAGAATTTGCTAGGACCATGCATCATTAATTATAATTTAAGGTAAGAATTTTCATGGCAAATATTTTCTGCTTACCATTATCATCAGAAATCAATTTTTGACTGTGGGATATTTTATATGGAAAAAATGCAAGATTTTTCATATAACTTTTTATCGATTTTTCATATAACTTTACAAAACATGCATATTAAGAGGTGTAAGTTCGCCGATTTTGGGGGCAATACGTTAATTGCGCGTCAGGAAAACCTAGGGTCAAACCGTATGTGGGTGGTGGCGGTAGGAGACAAAGATGACAAGTGTCTTACACGAAAACCGTTTATTTTGACATGAAGTTAACTTACACAACAGGAATAACAAAATAAGTTCGTTGGCCGGCTGAGGTTTCGCTTCTTCTGTGCCCCGGGGCTCAATGAGGTAGCTACTGACGATCTTGCGTCCTTGATGCGAGTTCAGGTGTCCGATGATGCGGCGGTGCTCGGCGGTTATGGCGTTCTGGATGCTGGGGGTCCAGTGCACGGCTGAGACTCGGCTATCCTGACCTCTTGAGTATGTGTCCGTGTGCTGCGGGCCTGGCGTCTTGGAGAGAATCTGCCCCGTGTCCTTGAGATTCGGGGGTTTTATAAGATTTTCCCCGAATCTCACCCTTTTGATTGGTCCCTTTCACCCTCTCCCTTACTCCGATTGGTCATTCCTTTGTTTCTAGGCGAAACCCGAGACCGATTCGGGTCGGGAAAAGGTCGGAGAGGTGATGACGGTCCTTTAACGTTCGCGCTCGTATTTTACTCCGTTATGTCCCTTTTCTCTGTCATCTTTGAACCCAAACGGTTCACCAGATGTTCTTGTGGCCATCTATCCCCTACCGCGTTCTTACTTAACAGATATCCCTTTTGTTCTTAGACCCCCCTTTCTCCCGCTTGCTTCGACCCAATATTTGTTCGCGCGCTTCCCGACAAAGCTCCCTCTCTCTCTGTCGACATTCCCCCCTGTTATTTATCGTCGCGTCGCGTTTGTTTTACAATTCGAGAAAGTTTTCGTCTCATCTGGGCTTTGTCACTAACACATCCCCTTGACCTGATTCTATCCTCGAAACTTTCTGCCGTTAAAGTTTGTAATTAGTCGAAATTTCTACGCGCTTTTACGACCCTCACAGAGGACAGTGGTGCCAAATTTTATCCTAATGGCTAAATTTTAAAAAGTTTTTCAAAAATCATAATCACATATTCAGAACAATGTATAAACTAAATTTGTTTGAGATTTGTCCAATAGTTCTTTCTACAAAGAACTCTGAACACTGATTCTTTAATTATAAATATCCTGAATATATGGCATTATTTTATGCATACATGATAGTATATACATAAAGTAATGCCAGATTTTAGTTAATTCACTACTCTGTGAAGACCAAATTATAGAAAAATATCAGTAATAAAGAACAGTAAAGCATAAAATTGATTTGTGACTTTTATTAGGATTTTAGCAAATATTAAAAAAATAACATTTATTTTAATTTTTAGAAGCTCAGAGTCATAGAAGGCAGCCAGCACCACCACCCCCAGGAATGCCAAATGGAACTACTTCTCAACCAAAAATTCATATTCAGCTTGATTCAAGACTATTTGCAAATAACATTGCAGAATGTTAATGACTACAGTGATAAGTTTTGGTCAGCTTTGAGAAGTGAAAAATAAAATAAAATCAATTTCATTGCTTATTATATTTCAGATAAGATTGAACGTATGAATTTATAGGAAGAAATATATGATTTCTACTGTAAATAAATTGAAAACACATCTAAAGGAATTCTATATTTTGGTGTCTTGCTGCAAGTCATTATGAAGTTAAAATGGTGAAAGGTATTTGATACTGTTGTAAATTTAAAAATTTAATATTTTCTATTTGAACAGTCATCTACATGAAAATTGGAATTATTTTAAATGTGTTTTCTTGATGTATGAAATTGTATGTAAAATTCTTTATTCAAGGACTTTTAATTTGATAAATAAAAAGCTTACATTTAAATATTTGTATATAAAAATGAATTACACTAATTGAGGATTTATGTATAAAAACTTTAAGCATTGATAGATATTTCTTGTTATATAAATTTAAGAACTTCAAACTTAAGACATCTTAATTATAAAAACACTTGTTATATGATTATTTACATATTACATGAATTTTTTGAATTAAAATAACCTATTAAAATATTAGACATTTAACAAAAGATTGAGATTTCTTTTAAAAAGTACTTACCCATCATACAAAGTTTGCCAATAATAATGTCTATTAATTCATTTGTCATTTTCTGTATAAACTAAAATAATTAGTTTAAAAATCATGTTCACGTACATTAAATTATTCCATTTGAAATTAATATTTTATTTAAAAATTAAAAGCGTTTCATATAATTAAATTTTTAGTGATTGAAATTTATACTAAAATGGTTATATGGAATATTAATTAATTTAGTAAAATTTTATTATTTTCAATGTGATGTAAACATGGTTTTTTAATTAAAATATTCTTTAAATTATTTTGTATGGAGTTAAAATTAATAAATTATAGTCAATAACTTATATTTAGGTTTCAATCAGTCCTGCATGTAATGTAACCAGTCAAGTCTTCCCAATAAATTCTTGGCAGAAATAAATTGTGAAAAGTATTGACAGTAAAATGTGCTTGCATTTATCAAGTTAATTTATTATTTTTTAGAATTTGACTAATATTTTACATTATTTTTTTATTTATTTATTTCAATAGAATATTAGCTTTCTATTTTCCATCATTTATTTATTTATTTTGGATGCATTCATTTGCATTTAAAAAGTGTAAATCTATAGCCCTTTTTTTTTTTTAGTAATCTAGTCAAATTAATTAAGTTATTATCTGATATAATTAATATCATATTGTACCAATAAAGTTTTTTAAAAAGTTATACATAATTTCATAGAACTTAACTGGCAATTTTTGATTAAATTAGCAATAATAAATAAATTAATTACTAAAACGTAATTTATTATTATTTTTTATATCTTTAGCAGATGGAAATTTAAAATTTCAAATAAAAATTAGAAATTACTAAAAATTCAGTTGTAACTAGATCTTTAGCATATTTACTGATCTTTCTTCGTAGCACTTAAATCATTCAAACTTCAAGAATATTACATAGCTAGAATATTGCACAATACACAAATATCTTCAGTAAAAAAGTTATAAAGTTAGGATGTCAAAGAAATTAATTATGAAACTAATTTTAAATAATTGTGAAGCTTTATCAAATGCTGTTGTTAACTTTTTCTTTTCAATCAAAATCTGTAAGGGCAAAACAATATGAAATTTCTTAAACTTTCTTAAAAAAAATATTAAAACATTATTTATAGGAAACAAAATTGGTAACATGTCTTCCTTTAACTCAATTATAGTTCTGTTTATTCTAATGTACTTTGATATATTGAAAATGTTAACAGAAAATTAAGTTGTGTTTAATTATTTTGGTAAATTATATAAATTTTTTAAAACTTGTAATTATCAGTTTTTTAAATTTAATTTTTTGTTTTGTAACATTTTTCTAAGAAATGATTGAATCTAACAGTCAAATACTGTTAATTAGTTTTGTAAGTTACATTAATTAGTTTTATGAATCACATTAACAAATTGTCTAAACTATGTGAATGCTTTTTTCTATATATATAATTCTTATTATAATATATATAGTTCTTAATTAATATCTTTTTTTAAAATTTATACTATTTTGAATTAATTTCTTAGTGTTTTTCTAATTGTGAACATTGTAAATGAAATCTGAAAATTTTCAGGAAAGTATAAATTGATTTTGAAACTTAAGTTATTGTTTTATATAAGTTCAAATAATCAGAAAATTACTGGTATCATATTTGATAAATATAATTCAAAAATTAACAATCATAAACTATATTTTAAGCTTTATTTCATAATTTTCAATGTTTTATTTATTGTGTTTCTGTTAGACATTTTCTATAAATTTAATTTAAATTATTTTTTTTTCTGTTTTTTTTAATGCATGATGTTTCATTTAGATATATTTTAAAATATAACATTTAAATTCATATATATGTATTTATGGAAAAGTGTTTGTGTATTAAATAAAATTCCCTAATTTATTTTGAAATTATTTCAAAATGTTTACTTACAAATGTCTTTCAAAGCAGTTTTTACATATATTCTGTTGATTATTTAGTTGAGAATAAATTTATTCATTTAAAACTTTCTTTTCATTTGTTAGCTTCATCTGATTTTTAGAAATGATTATTTCATAATTTTGTATTTAATAAAAAAAATCTATACATTCTAAAGAGATTTTTTTCTTTTGTTAAATTTATTTCACTAATAATCATAGTCATTAAAATAATGCAAATAATTTCAATTTAATAATTTTTTAATCACAATAAATTTGTTTAGAATGACTGGTAGAATGACTTGTTTGACAAAACTTTATTTTCAATGTAAGAATATGAAAATTTCATTTTATCAACCAAATTTGAATTGATAAATTTGTTCCTTCTACACAAGATATACTTGAATGAATTGGCTATTGCTTAGTATGAGCATTTACAGAGACAAAAATTTTTACTTTATATTTATTACAAATTTTTAAGCAGTATTCAACTACATAGCCAAAATCCATGTGTAATTAGTCCATCAGAGCAGGTTTAAGTAAGCTGTCTTTACAGAAAGCATCATAAGACAACCACATTCTCTCAATGACATGTAAGAATAACAGGTTGCCTCACTCACAGTAATGGAAAAAATTAGTGCATAACACTCCTTCTTGTAGTTGACCACATAGTGAGGGATTTTCAGGTTTTTAGAAGATAATCAGGACTCCATGTTTCAGGCACATATTTGCTACAAAATGTCTATTATTGAGTTTGCTTATCTTTTCATAGTTGCCACATTTGTGAGGCTCTCAATGAAGGAAAACTCAGTTGTTGACCACCATAAATGAGTTTGTAACTACTAAGTAACAGCTCATGATTAAATAATTTTTTAGCATGCTCCACTATTGTTGTGAAGTGCTTATGTTAGGACTTTGTCCATCTGTCAGACATTGTCTGTCTGGCAGATGTCCATGGGCATGTGCAATGACTTCACTTTTGTTACCTAAGTGTTATGTTCCGTTCAGTTCATTTATTGTGCATGTCTACGTGCATATGCAACAACTACTTGATTCTAAGAATTTATAAAATTTATTTTAATCAAAATTAATATTTGATTTGCTTTTGTGGAGTATGCTATCAGATTAGCTTGACTAAGCTTGTTCTCATAATGTAAACAAAGGTCTAATAAAAAAATGTTACGATATAAATTTTTTCGTCTACTAGTATGTATTTTCTATTATCAGGACTTATTAGACTGGTTTTACAGATACTGCAACAAAATTTCACAGATCAGAAATTTGTTTTATTTAATATACCTGGACACATACATAATATTGCGTTTCGGACTCTTTCGTCCCCCCTCAGTAGGTATTTATGTTGTACATTCTATATAATTAAAAACAATAAAATAATTTTTAAAAACACAGCATTTTACATTTCCCAACAATCTTTGTTATTTATTTACTGATATTAATATAAAATTTTTACAATTTCCAAACTTTTTCCCTTTGTTCTCAGTTCCTCCAGACATTCAATTTTAAACATTAATAGCAGTACTACTGTAAATCTAAACCTGTATTAGGACAAATTATTATATTAAAGTTTAACATTATCTCTGTTTTTTTACATTTATACAATAATTTCACAACTTACATCTCTTTCTGTTCACTTTGACTTACTCTTTATCTCCACTTTTGATTGTTTTCTTTATACCTTAGACGCACCCCTTCCTCTATGATTCTTTGCCATGATTGGTGTATTTCTTTTCCAGTATTATTATTCGTTCTGTTATTTTGTCTAATTATATTAATATGTTCGTAAAGTTGTCTTTTATAATTATTATTTTCTTTTTTCCTTACTTTTACTGATTTTACTATTATTTCACAACCTGTAGAATTACAGTGCTTCACTACCACTGAATTTGCATAATTTCCCCTGATTGCTTGAATGTGTTCATTTATTCTTATTTTTAATTTTCTTTTTGTTTCCCCTATATCTATTTTTTCTGGTTTACAATTACAATTAAAGGAATATACCACTCCTTTTTCTTCGAATATATCATATTTTTCTTCATTTCTATAACATAGATGTTTTTAGTTGTATTCACTTTATCTGGTATTAGATTAATTCTACTATTTAATACTTTTTTAATTCTTTCAAACAGCTTAGGGATATATCTTATTTTAACAAAACTTTTTTCTTTATCTATTAATTTTAATTGTTTATCATTTTTCAATTTTTCTAACCATTTCAGGTACATATTTGCTACAAAATGTTTTTATTTTTATGACAAGTATAGAACAAACTTTATTTTCATATATAAATTTTGTTTTTTGTCGTAATAATTCTACACATCACAATAATTAATAAAAAAATATCAAAGTCCAAAACAGTATTAAATGGTCGCCTACTGNAATATATTAATTTTTTTTTATAAAGTTGATATAGAGGAAAACACAATGTTAAATACAGTGTAAGTTAATATATATAGCATTAAACAGTAATTTTTAAAAATAAAATTTGAATTTCAATAGTATCTTAAGATACTATTAAAGTTTTATAAGGTAATACTCAACATACTTTTATATAAAATTAATTTCAAGTGTAATTAATTTAAACATAATTAGAAAATATTTATTTTAATCTTTTTCTAGCTTTTAATTAATTAACTATTAAAGCATTGATTTATTTATTATTTATTTCTGTAACAAAATATTGAAATTTTAATAGCTAAACAATGTAAGAATATGAATTAATTGAGTTAATTTTTTATTAAATATTTATGAATTGATAATAGTATACAGAACAGAAAAATAAATATGAATTTTCATCTACGATATATTTTATATATATATATATTTTTTCTTTTTCATTATAAAATTAATGAAAAAAGT